TATTATGGTTGTGAAATTTGTTCCGGATATCATCCGTTAAGTAACCGCTCCGAAAGCTACGCAGACGGGATCAGTATGCAGAAAGTGATCTTTATTGTATGTATTCTGGTTTTCATTCAACGGATTTCTTGGTTTGTAGCGTGTCGGCTCAATATCCCGAGCCTACGCTATCATCTCTTCCAATCAAGGTAATTTTTTTAATATGAGCGTATACAACCTTGTCCACATTGGTAGAGTATCAGCTGTTCAAGATTTATCACTAGTTTCAAATCGAAGTGGCTGTATTTTAAGATGATCTTTATCTCAAAATGAGAAAGGTAAACTTAAATGGCTTTCACTATCAATATACTTTATAGGGCAAAAACCATAAATTTATTTATTCCAATATCTCCATGTACGCTACGGAAATAAACAAAGCTCATGTAATTGCAGATCCTGCAGCACAAACTGTTCGGATTATAACAAAAACCTTTTCCAAAATATAATTAACTATAATTAAAAACCAAATTTGGTATTTATGAACAATATTCAAATAAGTAATTGGATATACTAATAATTCAGAGACATCATATTAAAAGCTATCGTATTTTTTCAATTTAAAGTGATATTCGATAAGCCTAGACAAATCAAAAAAGTAAAGTAAGATGATATTTATAGGGAATTGCTAAATTCACACCCCTTTTCCTTAGATTCACACCCTTCCTTCAGAATCTTATATATACAAGGTCGAGACCGAGACGGGTACCGACTCGATTGAGCTTGCCCAAGCCGCTGCAATTGGCGAGACGGCTGTCTTTGCCGATACGTCTGACATGTCTAAAAAGGCTGAAGCTGTGACGCTTACCGCGCAAACGGAAGCCGTTGCCGAGTCTATGATGGTTGTAGAGAAGGAGAAGACGAACGTTGGCGATACATTGGAGGGCGCTGTCTAGGTACAGAAGGCCAACGTCGAGCAAGTGGGTACCAATGACAAACCTGCATCTACTCCAATCACGGAGACGAAGAGCAGCTAAGCATTCAGTGGGGGAAACGGCTACATTTCCACACGTATTTACCGTCTTCAGCTAAGTATAAACGCCGCTGATCATCACACGCAGGACCAAAGTGTACATTTTTCTCACGATGAAGTTTCAGCCGTGTTCTGGTGAGACAAAGACCACTGCCACCACAACGTGGTTACGGAAGTAGGAAATGTCGTTCATGTTTACAGTAGATCAATACCATCGTACCCGATACGCTTTTTGATACGAGGCGAAGTACTATACGTTGTTGCCATCTAGAACTTTGCTATGATCTCCACGGTCAGCTTTGTGCCCTTGTCTCTGTATGATCGATCGACACTGGATACTTCGTGACTTGAAACATAACCGCGTCAAGCGTAAACGTCACGATACAAAGATTCATTCGAGGACAGTTGATCACAACTGCATTCCTCGCTGCCTCTCTGTTGTCCGTGCTACCCGTATGTTCCTCATTAAACGTTCATTCCGGCGGCACAAGTACAGCAAGTGACTGTGGCTATGTGGAGATAAGCGCGTATGAGCTGCTCGGTAAGGTGTGTCACCGAGTGTTTTGCTGCATTCTTTGTTGCTACAAAGATAAGGCTCACGAGGTTTTCGTACCGTCAAGTTGAGATTGCAAGGCACTCCTTCATGCAGAACACCGCCTCCGGTTCGAGAACATATCTACATGGATAGACAAGTGCTGTAGCACGTGCAGAAAACTGATCTTGAGGTTGAGTCAGTATCTCGCAGTAAGTAGATGACGTCGAATATACATACACACGAACTGACACTGTCGCTTACTTGTCCACATGCTGCAAATTCACAACTAATTCGCTGGAATGCAGGTACCCGTTCATTCTCGAGGGGGTCAGCATGCACTTGACCGGATCGTCAGTCGCTGCATGCGTTTGTTGCACTCATATCTAAAAATCTGAGCTGAGATGTCGCTATATAAAGTGTCTCTTTCTTTCAATGACTACAATACGCTGCCAACATACGCAGCGCATGTGCTGCTATGTGTAACGGGGTAGCCTGTTTCATGAGATTGTCATTAAAACAATCTGACAATAAAGAATATTACGTTGAATATTCTTTTAACAATATCACAAGACATGGTGATATTGTTGGGATGACCGAAGGGTCTACTCATTGGTTGATATCGTGATGATATCAACCCATTAATCGCTGCTAAATGCGCGCAATGGGTGGTGAGTAGACGTCATCATACATATAGTTATATTAGTATTTATAAGTCAGGACAACAGAGATTCAAGGAGTTATAGGACTTAATTATATTAATACAGTTTTACTTTTACCAAGAGACTAGTCTAACTACTTAGTCTCCTTTACTTCCTCTGTGTTTCATTCAACACCTAGCAGGGCACTGTCGACCACAGTCGTCAGTGGAAGTATACTTCGTACTGGTCAACCAGTACGTAGTCAACAGTGCCCCGTTACCTATGTGTATTGTATACACTACAGAGTAATTGATCTGTACGAGTATCGCTTTGACCTGCAGACAAAGCGATTGCATTGGATGGCAATTTCCGTCCATCTTCACCTGTGTGACCTGACCACGAACGGTTTAGTCGCTGCAGTTCTGTCGCAATCGAAGCAGTTTACGCTGCAGTGAGCTTTGTATTGTGTTAATAGAATGCAGTGGACGTCGCTCGGTCCGTTACAGCGCAACTCTTGTACGACCACTTTGGCATTCGACCTGTCGCGCACATTTTGTGTGTTCCCACTTCGATTGCTACGCACTGCCACAAGTGCTGCTGTGCGTTCTCGTTTCTTCTTCTGATAACGTTCCACAACTCGTTTCGTCTCGTGTCATATAGAAATTGGATCACTGCGCGCATGGACAGAGGCCATCTAAACACGTGCAAAAAAACCTCGCAAAGCTCAGAGCGACTTCCAGACCAGCGCATTTGTTACTTCAGACGGCACGATGGCGTCGGATGCATGTCGTGTGCTTTATTTGATCGTCTTGTTTGGCATTTTGCGCGCGCATGACCGATATTTGCGCCCCGAGCCACGCTCCCTATCGTTGCTGGAACGTGTTTATCGATACTGACATTTGTGAATAGATACAGGCGTGAGTAGTATCTTATATATTTCTTACGTAATACTTGCCGTTTAATGGTCTAGATTATTGAGTAACACCTTTGTCAGAAATCAAATCTTAAAACGAATAGGGGTTTTTTGTATAAATTTTTGAAGGAAGGGTGTGAATCTAAGGAAAAGGGGTGTGAATTTAGCAATTCCCTATTCATAAAGACACAAACATAAATGAACCAGTCAAAATAAAAACAAACTTGAAGCATATAAAACTAATTTAAACTGAAAGGAAAGTAAATTTTCCAACCTAAATGCAATAATTGGTCATTACGATATCTAGGCAAAACTGCTCTAGCTGCCATAAATAAAATAACAGAAAACATACTCGAATGCTAGACCAAAAAGGTTCAGGCAAAACACCAATAATTCAATCATAAAAGGAACTGGTGCTAACCATCGCCTCTGATAGCGGGTAAATACTGCTGAACTTCTTGAAAGATGCAAGTTACATGCGCTGTGAGGTTTCCAGATTCTACTCCGCAGGCACTAGTTTTTCAAATATGTTTGGTCATCATGGGTGGCAGCAGGTCCAAAAGCGATCGATAGAATTATCATTTGCCTTTTGTTGAACTTTCAAATTGAGCTGTTCTTTTAAACAAATCTTAAATTCGTACGCGACACTTCGCCTCTAGGACGTATTGCTTCGGTTAATATTGCTCTGGACTTGCCAAGCTGCTGGATTGGGCTTGATATCGGCAATCGACTACACTGATCATCGAGCAGCACTTCAGAGATACGTCTCTTTTGCGAAGATTCAGGTCATGAAGCGTTTAATCGTTCGACGTCGAGCCTGTTGTGTTTACCCGATGAATGCCTGCATTATAATGGGACGCGATGTCCTAATTAAAATTGTATTAGTGATGACGCTACTTGCTGTTATAAGTAATGGACAAAAAACATCAATTTAATGATACCGTTACGACCCTACAAACTGCAGCACATCGCTATATCCATCACGCGGTCTGGTACCTCATACGCTATTAAGTGCGACGATTTATGTGATGACGAGTCGCTTAGAAGATACGTACTTATTTTGACCTTAGTATTCCCTTTATCGTAACAATGCCGTGCATACGGGTCACTTCTCGTTTGTCCAACATGTTCTACACTGGATGTTTTGAGATCCCTGCGCTCTCTCTATCTTTGGTCACTCTCTGTAGTAATGCTGTCAAAGCTGAGCAATATTAGCTTCAATTTGCAATAACCGCTAATACGTGAAGCCTTGTTTCCAAGTCTTATTCGACGAGACCTGAACCAACATAAATGTATCAGTTGCTCGATGACATCTGGCAGGTAGCTATAGTCTGGTCATATCGCAATCTTGAAGTTGTTCAGTCACGCGGTAAATCCAAAAACGAACCTTTAAGTCTGTCGCTTGCTGGTATGTAAATGACATGTTGCCCGGACGAATGATCTCTGCAGAATAGCTTAATTTTGATTATCTTGTGGGAGGTCGATTTGCTTGTTGCCTACGTACGAATATTGACTGCACCTCTGATCCGCTTGCTTGCGTAAGTAATTTAGAGCTATGGTTACCACGGGCATGTGCGAACAACTATGCCGACAACAGTGCAGCTGCGTGTCGGACATTTTATCTGCCAGCCAAAAGTGTTGTGAATAACGATGCAAGGGTAGTTTTGAGTGAATGAGCAGGCCGCGATGCAGCATGGCCTCATCTGCAAACCTGGGTTTGATTTGTTAATGCGTGGGCGGATTCGGGCCATGGAACAAACAACAAATTTTGCTCTTCGGGTCACGTTCAATTGCCATTGTTTTCAACTTCAGTTTACACGAGAAGCTGTCTTTCAGTCTTTGATTCTTATCGACTAGCGACCGCTGAGCAGATAGACTCTGATCAGTGTGTACCATGAACTGCATCTATTCACCCAACGATCTCATCCGTCTCTGGAACCGCGGGAAAGTTGGTGTCGTTAAAGGCGTCGGGGTAACTGATGGTATCGCCGGAATGATAGGCGGCAGAGTAACGACCCCGGGAATGGCCGTTGTGATGTCTGGACCTAGAGGCAGTATGTCCGTCACCACTGTAGGGGTGCCAGGAACGACTGGCACAATAGCAGGGACCACCGTCAAGACGTCGGGTGTCAACGTCGACGTACCAGGGATCACCGTCATGACGTCGGGTTTCAGTGTCGAAACAACAGGAACCACTGACAAATAAGAATCAGGTACCGTCGTTAGACCATCCGTTGCCACTTGTATCGGGTCGGCCGGGAGCATTTTTTGCTGGAGATCGTAAGTGTCATGATGATTCAACGAGTTGATGGAACTGTAGACGTTGTGGGCGTGGTGAGTAGGGTAAACGTCGTCGATTGAGTCGAAGTCATCAACCAAGTCGTTTATCCGAGTAGGGTAGGCCTCGTTGGCTGAGTAACCATCGTTCGGTGACCCATACATCGGAGTCACAAATCCGCCATGGTACTCCCCGTTTTGGATTGTGTGCGGGGTAGCCTGATCGTGTTGATTGACCGTGCTCCCGGTCTCAGTGACTGTATGAATAGTAGGTGCTTTTACAGCACTCGTGATCGTGCGGCAGCCGTATCTGGATGTCTTGTAAGCATCTTTGCCCGAATTGACGTCGCAGAGAACACTGAGCAGGTTTCTAAGCCTCTCATCGTCGTCATCATCGATATCATCGTACATCCCGATGGGATCAGTATCGGTGGCAGAAGTGTATGCCGTTTGAGGGAACGTGCACAACCACGTATCATCGACCGCTTCGATGCATTGAGCATCGACCGGGGCAACGCACACCGCTCCGTTGTAGGACAACAGGCCCGGCCGGCAGCCGGCATAGGCGACATCTCCGGCTTTTGGACAGTTCATGCCGCCATCATCCGAGCACGGTAGGCCGCGAGATTCGGGAAGCAAATACACGGCGTCGTGGTGCACGAAAACTGGAACGTTGGCGGATGCAAAAGCCGCAACCAGAAGGCCAGCAAGGGCCAAGATGCGTGGGGTCATTTTCGTCGATCTCAAGTGAAAGGTAATGTGCTGCTCACCGGTAGATTGGAGAATGAAAAATGTGAAGAGCACAAGAAACGTAGCGATCCAACAGACCAAATGAAAGGCGTCAGGAGAATGTGGACTATCGGATCGAATCGGTTTTAGCCCACGAGAGTACTACGCAGGCGCATCAAACTTCAAGGTTAGACTTTCTTGAAACGCTAAGGAGGCGTGGCAGAATGAATTAGCCTAAAGACTGTTTCAGTCGAGTCGTTATTGAAACGAGCCTAGGTAGGCGTGGCTATCGATTATGTGGCGGACTATCGTAAGAAACAGGAAACGGCGCTGTCAATCTAAGGCTTTCCCAAAAACGGCCATGGCTTCTATCGCTTTGTACACGGACGGTTTCATACACCTTTGTTGCGAGTGGCAACTGTGCGCAGCTATTCGACAAATACTTCGCGACGGTTGGTGCGAGCTGATACGGCAGAGCTCCTAAGGGTCTCTCCCTGGTGCGTTCGTGCTGCGAAAACGCACTCGTGGCGTAATCAACATCGATCGGCGCTCCCTATGTCCTGGCATTCTAGCAAGATTCCAATGGCGGTACTACATATCGTGCCAAATGCTGTTACCGTATGGTTTAAGCTGGACGCTACGAAGCTTGCGAAGTAGGTGACACCAATATGTTTGCTACTCGATAAGATTCGCTTCACTGATCCATCGCTTCAGCCTTACTCAGTTCATGATTTCGATAACGCTTGAATTGTTTGATACTTATCAAGTCAGCATCGAGCTCATAAGAACGCTTGAGACGGCTATCATCATCGTCAGATGCGAGCAGCCATTGTGAAGAGTAAATACCAAAACTAATGCTTGCTTTGTTGGGTATCTGTATCGGAAGCTTCCATAACTATGTCCATGTTCATGACAAGAATCACATGTTCTGGTCCGACAACGTCCCAGGTAATGAGCCGATCGAAGAAGTGGAAACATGCTGAACAACGGTAGCATGCACAGTTGTGTCGATGGAGATTTTATTACGTCCAGCTCCATCTATTCATCGCAAACAACCCATCCTGTGTAGCGAAAAACGCGGAACACTTCACCTGTATCCTTCCGGGCATGAGGTTTGGTTTGCCTACAGCACCTTTTCGTGTCCATCGTGCGTGACGAGCTGGTGCCGAATCTGCGCCACGGCTTTATCATTCTCGTTGTAGTGGAGGGACAACGAACTGATGTCATTTTTTCATGTGGAAATGGCTGTGTTTGTGAGGCTTTCCTGCTAGAATGAAATGACCAAGCTTGACGGTGGAAGCGCGAAACTTTGAACGGACCGAAGAGTAATTGAGCATCACCCGCTTGTAAAATGATCAGTACGAGACACTGCCAGATCATCGATTTTTTGTCACACGGAGAACATATGGACGCGTATCAAATCGCAGGCTTAACCAGCACCAATCGCCGTGAGCTATTATACATGAGATCGTGCCGTTCATCAAATAAAATTGGGTGGAGCACTGTTAACGTATCACTCGGTGTTTCCGCGTGCCTGCTTCGTTATACCTTACATTCAGGTGGAGCTGACTCAACTCTTTTTCAAAATACGATGAGTAGCACGGACAATTCGGAAGTCGTTTGAGGTCACTTGATCCAAACCAGTCTTTGGCGCGATACGTCTAAAATGTGTAGTCTGTTCAATAAGCTGCGACGGACAGCTGGTTGCCTGTAGCTTGTACTTAATAAGGAAAGATTAGCATTGATACAGCAGTGTGCCTTACGATGTACTGGGCTCACATTTTCTACATGATTACGCCATTGAACCGCTGTGTCTCTGACCCTCTTTGCCAAGCGGAAGTGCGGTGTATCGAATCACACATAGAAGCCCAGCGCTGTAAGATAAAAACTAATGAAGGGCTTCATATTTGGAAAGGCGGACGTTGTAGTACCGAAAGTACGGGGACAACAGTGGCTAGTTCATTGTACCGTAGCCTGCTGTTTCCGAGATGGACATAACGTCGTCTCATGATGGGATGTAAGCGCAAGTATGCTCACAATCGCTTTTATGGGCAAACCGCACTGACTGATTATTTTATGACGTCACCCTGTCACGATCGCGCATCTTTACTTCGCGCGGACCTCGACACATTTAGGGCACGTTGTCGGAAAGAAAAACGCCGGCACGGGTTGTCATGTTCACGCTCCCCGCCTCCTCCTGTGTTGAGACGTCATTGCACACGAACGAGAGAACTTTTGGCCTGCTGACTCAAATGTGAGAGGCTTTGTACGCTCAGAACAAGATCGTTGGGACTGGCTGGCTTGGTTTGAACGCCTGGATCGACACAGTCATTTCGATGTTGTCTTTGTACAGGAAACACAAGTCATTAAGGGAGCCATCGGTGACGTGACTCGCGAGCCCTCCAACCACTCGTGGTATCGAATAGGGCCGTGTTTCCCAAATCTCTCTTATTGATCGGCCGCTCAGGGGAGGCGTGCAGGTGTTGGCATCTTATTCCACCTGAAACGGGGTGAACCCGTTTCAAAAAATTGATATATTCGTATCAATTTCGAACAATATCTATTTCGATAATGTTCAATTGACATTACCCGTAAGGAGTAAGGTTGGAGGAATATTACCCCCGAGGGTAATATTTCTTTGATTGGTTGCTCCACCTGATGGTTGATGTTCACGGTACATCAACCATATTAACCACTAATCGCTGCTGGACGCGTGCGATGGGTGGTGAGCAAGAAACCCACATAAGAGATTGTAGTTTAATATAGTTAGCTCAAGACAAAAGATGGTTTTTCAAGAAAATAACTGTATTAAATACAGTTCTAATTTTTCCCTTAGACAGAACTTTCGAGTTCTGACTACTTCGCTGCGCTTCCTCACGCCACGTGTACGTGACGTCGGGTACACACAACCTTGTTTAAAATCAATACAAGGCGTGCCCCGTTACACCACCTGCGTAGTCTTTCCTCTGAATGACTCCAATGAGGGAGGTGTTAGAAGATATCGTTTCTGACAAGTCGCGAGGGTCAAGGGCAATACCCCGTGACACGGTAAGTTACAATCGTACCTGATTGGCTAACAAGTTTGACATCTTGACAGATGGGACGAGGCGACGATGTCGCCACGTCGGACCACCAGGATGTTGCGACATATGAGACGAGGAGACGAGATTACCATGTAGTCTTGTCGATGTCGTAACAGGTGGGACGGAGCGGGATAGACGTGCACTATAGACGGTATAGTTGCAGTCCGTTTCGCATGCATGTGTAGGTATTAACCAACGAGGGAGGTTAATGCTTAAATATATTCACTTTTACTTCTACATCTTCTGGAACAAGTGCATCAACGAACACTCATCTTTCTACAGGTTATGAGCCCAAAGAATCGTGTTGCCGGCGCAGCTTAAGGAGCCATACCCGCTGCGGTCGTCGATGGTCGAGAAACGACCGAGGACCACCAACTAGAAGAAAAGTCGGCAGTGCCTGCGGCGGCACTGGACAAGATGCTCGCCATGCTTGGCGACTTGTCGGAACGGATGGGCAGGATGGAATCCTCCCAACGCGAACAAGTTGGAGGCCAACGCATGGAATCTGCGGAGTCGAGCGTCTTTGGTTCGGTTCTCGGTTCAGGGGCCGGTATAACACTTCAGGCTTTGGAGCGTACCCCACCCCCTAAACGTTCACCGAATGTCTCGCCGGCCACCTACTTCGGTGCCCGACGACCGGCTCTGGCCGGGGAACACATGGTTGACGCGCCGGCCCAGGCAAATGTCAACCATGGAATGGCTCGGGGTCTCGAGCCTGGAATTCAGGGACATGCCATGCCCGCGGGAGTAAACCCGGGTATGCAAGTACCAGGTCCGGTGCAACACCAGCCCGGACAGGTACACCAAGGTGTACCGGATGGACGCCAAAGGAAGCTGGCTTTGCAACCTTTCGATGGAAAGGAGCTCTACCATGGCCTTGGGAGTGGTTTCATTGAATGGGGCAAGGATTTTGTCCGGCAGGTTGCGTTCTCGGAACGCGCCTGCGGTTTTGGATGGCCTGAAGATATCAAGGTGGATTTCCTCAGCCAACACCTCGCTGGTACGGCGCAGAAGTATTACCGGCGGCAGGTGGAAACTTGGTGGTCTGAGAGCCAAACCTTGGAGCATGCATTGCAAAGGTTACTCCAGACCTTCAACACCAAGATAACACCTGCCCAGAGCATGAAGCTGTTTACTGCTGCCAAGTCACCCCAGCGTAGCTGGACCGAACACTTCCTGTACCTGACCGCTGTGAGCGACGCATGTGGAGGTGCGGACAGCCTCGTACTGGACAACATCGTGCATTATGCCGATCCAGCCATGCGGACGACTATGTTGTCCCGCCTGAATTTGAACAGGATTGACTATCTTCGTCAAGCTGAAGAGCTCGCGCTATTCGCACAGTCAACGGAACTTGAAGTTCGCGTGAAGCACTTCGGTCGGGATGTTGTCAACATTGTTGAACCAAACAAACAACCCAAGAGGATCAAACGGACCAAGAAACAACATGGTCGTCAGCGATCCAAGCAGTGTTACCTGTGCGGCAGCACCGGGCATCTCAAGATGAACTGCCCAAAGGGTACCAAGAAGAAGCAAGATGCAGATTTCGTCTTGGCTCTCCCAGTACATCGGACGATTACGCCAAGTCACTGGGCGCTGGACAGCGGCTCAGGTCGTCACCTGATTGACGATTTGAGCTTGCTGGAAGATGCGGTGGACTGCAACACCAAATGCTTCACCGCTGCGTCGGACAGTGAACCACTTCGGATCACCAAGCAAGGAAGTGTGATGATCCGGGTCAAAGCACTTGGATTAACTAAGACAATACGTCTTCTCGATGTTCAATACGCATCAAACTTGGAATGCAACATCATCTCGTTTGGGAAACTCGAGTCGAAGGGATGCATCCTTGAGTATAGAGAAGGGAGGCGTGTCATGGTTTCGCAATCCGGTGGATTACCTATCATGGATGTCGATCGG